CCCCAAAACCCCAAAACCCCAAAACCCCAAAACCCCACTTACGAATATATACGTTGAAATTAAAATGGAGAATATCACCACTGAACTTAGTAAGATGCCCAATTAAGATATAGACGAGCTCAAGGCTAGCATCCAAGCTACATATATCGAGCTAAAGGGAATCACCCAGAGGACTGACCGCCTCGAAGCTCAAGAGGAAATCAATGATGGCTTGAAGAGGATTTATGCCATTGTTAAGAAAACCGTCTTCCATCAACTCATTGGCCTTCAGAAAATAGCTTTAAAGCTTGACAATGAGGCTAAGGTATTGTTTGGAAATATCTTGTAGATAAAGCAACTTGACAAAGAGATCAACCAAATTGAGGATAAGGAAAATTCATATGAGCTTGAAGGACTCACCAAGAACCTAAAATTTCTAGCCGATAAAAATAGCAAGCTAGTTAGTGAGAATAAATCTTTAAAAGGCATTATACACAAAATTAACGAAGGCTGAGGTAAGGTAGCTTTAATATTTTTAGAAAAGAAAAAGGAAAACCTTGATCCCTCTAGAGTCGCCCAAACTAGCAATACAAAGCCACGAATGTCAGATTATAATAATGATACTGATGTGAATCAGGCATCTAAGAGTGCCACTAGTCTTGATACAATTTGAGATAATGAATGAGGTATCCAAGCAAGTAAATACCTCAAGTATATGCCAAGTATCAATGTAAGGTTTTAGTTTCCTTGAAATCTCTCACATTTTCACGCTTCAACACTTTCCAATCAGCTGAGCATTCATAGGCATCTGATAATTCAACGAAAGGCGGAAAAACAGCAAAGAACCATGACCAGAAAAGAGGAGCCAGTAGAAACAGATTCTGCTCACAAGCAGATTCTACTAAAATCGAAGCTAAAAAGACTCGGAAAAAGAGTTGAAATAACTTCTCAGTCAAGGGTACTTCCAAAAGCAAGTTTAAAAGAAAAGATAGGTTCTCTCCTACGAATGGTAATGAATTCTGATTCCAATCATAGATGTCAGCATGACTACCAAAGTGATTAGGATAGAAGACCTTGATAAAAGCATCAATGTGCTCCATAGCTGTATCAATAAATCTAAGAGTAAGTAGCTACCAGCTTCATTGTATGACTTCTGTAGACAATTACAGGTCAAGAGACAAGAAGAGGTACAGGCATAATGAGCCAAATTACTCGAATTACATTAGCTGTAAAAATCCAGTGAAGTCTTCAACATCTCTTAATACTACTGCATTGAAGGAGAACAGGCAAGGCTCCAGAATGTATCATAAGTTATCATGAAACCGGAAGATGTATGAATCCTTAGAGGAAGTAAGATTATTAAAGCTAAGCTATAGCTGAAAACCGGGCATACGTCTTTAATCGATTGTAAATAAGCCAGAAGGTCCAAAAAGATCTGATGTTTTTAGATCCAAGAAATTAACTCTTCAAGATGATGAATACAATTGATCCAATAATGAGAGCAAATATACACCTTTATCTCATATGGGAGGTTCTGTTAGGCCAACTTCCCTTCAGAAGAAGAGAGATGAGAGAAAACTATTAAAGAAACAGCTAGCAAATGAATAACTGCCATTCAACATTTCAATACATATTGACGTTATAGGGGTTTTGGGGTTTTGGGGTTTTGGGGTTTTGGGGTTTTGGGGTTTTGGGG